TTTTTTTTTTTTTTTTTTTTTTTTTTTTTTTTTTTTTTTTTTTTTTTTGTTACTGTTCTTTATAAAATTGGATACAAGTAAGTATTGGCCTTTAGCCATCAAATTGTAAAACGATCTGAATCTGGCACCCATAAAACCCTCTTGCTAAGATTGAACTTCAGAGAAAAAAAATAAATAATGATATCCAATTTGAGTATATTATATCACTCAAAGCCTTTAACCAATTAGAATCGTAGTTTCGAATCTTTGTTTTCGTTGGTTATAAATGGAATAGAAAACAAGAATCTTATGAATTATCTTAAAATCTTCACCAGAGTACAGCTTCATGTTCAAAAACATTCAATGAAAATCTTATTTTCAAAAATCAACAAAACAACTTGTATGTATGCACTAAAAATTGATATCCAAGAAAAATTTAGAATGGATATCTCACAATCAGTCAAAGAAAATCGAAGGACTAATCAACCTAAAGAATGAGAAACCAAGCCTCCATGGAACATACAGCCGAGCATAAGGAGCAGCAAAAGCTTTGCTAGAAGGTATTAAATTATAGTGTGGGATGTCCAAAAACTAGTATGCTCTACTGTCTGCTCCCAAAAATTCTAAGGATTTTATTATTTTAATATCACTTTTGTCAATTTCTTGTGCAAACTTATTAATTTCTATCAAAACTGCTCTACTTATATCGATTTTGATGGTGGTAAATTCTTCTCCTATGTTCGAAACAAGGGGTTTTCATGTAAATCTTGAGCTTTTCATTTCATCTCAACAGTTTTCAAACAATCCAAAACTTAAAATTTCAATCACTTGTGCCATTACCATGGATATGAACAACAAATAGGTCATCTTATTGAATTACCAGGTTCCTACTTCCTCAATTTATAAATAAATAATGAAACGAAGCACAGTAATTTGTAAGGTCATTAAATGAAACAATGATGATACAAATTGCTCACAAACCCGATAATCGAAATTCAGAGTACAAAAATCAATACAAGCCAAAGTGAAAATGCGAGAACCAAAAATATCACAACAAGCAATTCATCTCAAATGCATAAAACTGTAATACAAAACAAGCAAAAAAAGCGGCTCAATTGAGGTATTTCAGATGAAAGACAAGTAATACCAGGAACTTGGCGAGCCAAATTGACAAGAACGGAGTCAGCCTCCTCAGTATCGCCAGCTTCCGGCGAATCAAACCGTAGTGGAAGATTGTGAGGAAGAACAATGAGTTCGGAACCTTTCGGGATGTGGTCAGAAGCAAGAAGTCCAAGGCCAGTATCGCCATCTTGAGCAATCTTGAGAGACTGGTGGACGAATCCGCCTTCTCTGCGGACCCACTTGATAAGGTCCGGTGGTTGTGGAACCAGCCTGGAGGACAAAGAAGGAGAAACAGAGGCCATGGAGGCGGATGAGAGTGGCCGGAAATGGGTTAACGATACGGAAGCCACTGCTATCCTCGAAGCCGCCATGTTTTGCTCTCAACAATGCTTTCCTCCGGTGTCTTACTGTGTACAAAACCGGAATCGGGTAACAAAAACTCGTTTATTGGGAAAAAGAAAATTCGTTAAATTATATCAAAATATACCTAAACAAATGTTTTAATTTAAATGGTAGATGATTTGTTTACGATATTCACGTCATCAAATTAACCGGCTCACGTGTAAAAATTGATTTTGTGTTAAAAAAAAATTGATTCAAATAAGTAAACATTTATTAATTTTGGTTAGTTCATGAATTATCTTAAATTTGAGACATATTTTTATCGTCCGGGCAATTCATTCACAAGAAAATTGTCTCCATTAACGTTAGCCACTGATGTGCCTCGGTTGGATCCCCAAGGTTCTACTAAAGGTGCAGGATCATACCGCTTGAAATCCAGTAAATACTTCACTTCCTGCGTGGACGACATACTATTGGCTTGATGGATGGCCACTAATGTTTGCATCATAGCCTGAAATGATTCCCACATCAAGTTGATCGTGGGGTCTATTTCAGTCGCCTATGCTACTGGGGTGGCGCCGCTGCGTCAATTCGAGTTACTGACCTTTCACGAGCTAAGCTCTCTCTACCTCTACTCTATCCTTTAACAGGGGTCGCCCCCTTCCTCGACATCCCCTTCCATGACTTCTAGTGGCATGATTCTAAAACCAACATATAATTATTTTTAAGTCTATTGTAAACTCTGGTCAATCATATCATATGTTATATCATAATAAATATAGAACTCAATAAATAATAATACGGTTAAGGGTAACAAATTCAATCATGAGTTACATTTGACAACAACCAAGCAACAATAACATCTTAATTAGTGGCATTTACCCTAACTCTTTTCTTATCTCACACATGACATACCTAACAACAACGGGACATCAACGATGGGACCATGGAACATGTCAAGCCTACCTCGTAGGCTAGTCTACAAAATTTATAACCTAGAACTTTGATACCAACTGTAACAAATCTGATTTTCAAAGGGAACTAGTACTGCTACCATATACATGATATAATCTTTTGGTGCATAAACATTTCTTTGAACTAATTTCATAAAACGATGTCATTAACTTTTACGTTTAAATAAGAGTTTTAAAGTAAAACAAATGAAACATTTAAAGTAAATTAAAATGAAACAAAGGAAAATTTTAAAAGTGAATGTCTTATACTAACTTAAAATATACGAAAATAAATGCAGCTATCCTATGCACGTTTCATGGTCGCAATGATGCCGTCGATCGTACAAAGGTGCTTGCCTTTACCTGAAATATAAAAAATACTCAATAAGTGCCCTCACTATTGAGGCTAGAAAATGCACACACACACGTACAACATGAATGAGATCGATCATTTAAAATTGTATTCTCTTAGGGAGCTTTTCGTCAAGGTCATCGGATGTATATTTACTATTCTACACACGGTCCATATGAGAGAATATGGATCCATTAGGCGATTCGCACACCCCCTAGGCCTCGTATTGGTCAGGCTAGTGTCCCTGGTACTGTAGTCGGACATGCAAAAGTAATAGCGACCATCGTAGCATCATGTTAAACATGATGATCATTTCCCTTTTCATACCGTACCCGTCCATATTCACCATACAGGGGAAATATCTCGATGCATGTGATATACATTTATATATATGAGGTCCCAACATTTTTAATAATAAATAAATCATGCAAGACAACTCCTCCTTTTTTTTTCTTTCTCTATATTTCACTTCATTTCATGTATAGCATAGCCTTTAAAACATGTCACTGGGGTTCTATGTCAGAAATCTTCTTATATCAAAACATTTCATCTCATGTCATATATGTCATAAATCATCAAGCCATAATATGACATCCATTTGTACTTTGTGTTAGTGAGCATATGTGGGCATATCATATAACGAGCCATATCATATAATTACAACATGTCATATCGTATAACACATCATGGCATACCACATATCATATCATAGCATTCAACATATCATATTATTCACACACTAAAACATATGACATGTGCGTGTCCGCTACGCACGTGTCATCATACATAACACAACTCTTCCAACCATATTGATAGTAAAGTCACTTACTTAGTTGGCCTTAACCGATGTTCTATCTTCATTTATGAGATTGTATTGATTTGTCTCTCGAAATTTGTATCAACCTACATGGAGATACTCTACCATATTAGAAATATCCACCTAATTCTTTCAACAGTCATACATCTCACATAACTAAAATTAAATAAACAAAGCTTATACTGACCTTAATTGCCTTCCATAAAGTCAAAATCAGCTCCAGGAGGGTAAAAAATGTAGGAAATAATGCCAAAATTCAAGACCTGAGTTGAATAACTACTCTCCAGCCGCTGGAACTGCCGATTCGAACCACATCGAGTGAGCCGATGGGAAGACACGCATCACGCATATGTAGGGGGCTGGGGCGCGTGCGAGTCAAGGGATAGGTTAGGGCGTCTTCTCGGGCACGCCGATCGCTGGTTGGGGCGTGTAATGTGGTTGGGCTGCAAGCATCTTCTATTGGCTGAAGTGGTGTGCGTGGGTCGAGAGTATGCGTAATCAGAAGTGGGTTGTGGGTTGCACCTACTGGGTAAGTTCAGATTCGGATTCAACTTGAAACCTTCGTCTTCTTTGCCCAATTCACACGAAAACGAAACCCTAAATCTCCGACTAACTTCTCTTTTCTCCTGTCGCCTTTGCATTCAACTTCTGGCCACCACACAGTTAAAATATAATGAATTTTAAGAAGTGAAATTTAAGCTAAAAGGAGAATTCTATCTGGTTAGATAATGCATGGTTCAGTAACTTTTCTTGTTGGAGGGCATTAGAGCTAGGTTATCGATGTGCACATAAATATTATCTTATGTTGCTTTATGTGATGGTTGTACGTGATGGTTGTACGTACATGTATTATGTTATTGGAAAAATGTTATGAGATCTCATCCATGCACTTTTGATATGTGAAATATTTTTGTGGCAATTACCCATCTTTTGTCACGATGGTCGCATGTTAAAGTAGTTTGCCTTCACCAAATAGATATGTTTTTGAGTGACTAACTTCACTTACTAAATGATCGTGTGTCGTCAAAGTGGCTCGACTTCACTAACTAATACGACTCCCACCAATGTTTGAGTATTAAGTTATAAAATCATGAACTTTGTTTTATTTTTTGAATTTTTAATTAAAAATAACATACAAATAGTAAGGATAATGGATGTTTTTTCATCGTGTTTGGTTGAACCATTATTTTCCTTATTAGGGAAAAAATTAATGACAACAAAAGTTATAATGATAACCCTTTATAATTTAAAAATAATTAATTACCCCCATTTAATTTGGTAAATAATAAAATAGAAAGTAGACCGTATTCTCAACCGATTACCAAATTAAAGAAATTATTTAAGATTAAAAAAAAAAAACAAATAGTTATAATAAGTCATAAATTTTTTTTGGAAGGCCAAACAAAAAATAGAAATTTAAAACGGTTGTGGTTTGTAAATTTTTCAAATTTCAAAATTTTCAATTCAAAAACCCTTATTATTAGTTTTGCTTATTCAATTTTTTTGCTTTCAATAAAAATAAATATCTACATATATATTATATTTATTTTCAAACAATTTTTTTTTTTTTTTTTTTTTTTATTGTTATCATTTTGATTGAAATCTATTATGAGGGATTTAAGAATATTTTTTTTTCATTTGAATTCAATTTAATTTTCCAATGATGTATTCTTATTCGTGGAGGGTAAATGTGAAAGCATTAATTAATAATTATGTAACGGAAAGCAAATTTGGGAGATGCAAAACAGAGATAAAATCTTCTGCCTGCGATAATTATCTTAAANATTAAAAAAAAAAAAAAAAAAAAAAAGAATATTGCAATTTCTACTTATTTATTTTTAATTAGAATTAAAATCAATTACAAGCCAATAATTCCTAATTAGAAAAATATAGAAACGGAAAATGTGTTAGCAAAATAGCTAATTACTCATAATTATCAATTAGCATTAACTAATCGCTGATGCCGTGAGATCGAGAACCGCTCATCATCATGGCTTTGAATTCATCGAAACTAATCATACCGTCGCCGTTTCTGTCGACGCCGCTGATCATGTTCCGGCAATCCGCCAGCGAGCAGTCGTCGCCCAAACTCTTCAAGACCTCGTGCAATTCCTCCGCCGTGATGGATCCGTTGCCGTCAAGGTCATAGACGGAGAATGCGTCCTTCAGATTCTTAAGCACCTCGTCGGAATCGACTCCCTTGGTGTTGAGTTCAATGAACTCATGGAGGTCAATGTAGCCATCGCCGTCGGCATCGACTTCCTTGATCATGTTCTGAAGCTCTTCCTCCGTGGCCGGCTGGCCTAGGCTCCCCATAATGGAACCGAGTTCAGAGGAGCAGATCTTACCGTCGCCATTGACATCGAATTTCTTGAATACTTGCTCGAGTTCCGCGATTTGCGCTCGGGAATTGAAAGACGGAGTTCGAGATCCGAGAATCGGAACCGTGGTGGATCCGAGCGGTGAATCGCTGGAGGAATCGGATTTCTTCTTCCGGGAGAAGAGAGATTTGAATCCCATAATTTCAGCGGAAAGAGATTTGTGTGGCTCTGCAGTTTGCGTCGAAATTGATGAACAAAACAGGGGATGGAAGAAATGGATCGGATAGAGAATGAGGAGCGGAAACAGAATGTGAATCGGGGAGGAAGGGAAGATTTGTAGGGGTGGGGAGAAAGAGAAGCGGATTCGGAAGAAACAGAATGGGAGAATGAATTGGAATTTGTTACAGATTGAAATCCCATGAAATTTGACTTTCCAAATATATACAGAGAGAAAGAGAGAGAGACGGACTGCGCTTGGAACGGAGCTAATCAATATTTAGTCATGCATAGCATGTTCAAGTGAATAATAATAGAATCTTCTAATAATCATAATATATAAATAATAATAAAAGGATTTACATTCAAAATTTATGTTAAACTGCGACTAATTTGAATAGAATTCAGAAGGCAACCCTGTGT